CATGACTGCACTTTTTTCATGCGTTATTTGCAAGTCTTTTCCGAACAGACACTTTTTTTTTTTATATAGTTGCAGCCATAGTGGACTTATTTTGATTTCCACTTTTAAAATGTTAAATCAGGCCGGGCATGGTGGCTCATGCCTGTAATCCTAGCACTTTGGGAGGCCAAGGCGGGTGGATTGCCTGAGCTCAGGAGTTCTAGACCAGCCTGGGCAACACGGTGAAGCCTCAACTTTACCAAAATACAAAAAAATTAGCCGGGAGTGGTGACATGATTCTATAATCTCAGTTACTTGGGAGGCTGAGGCAGGAGAATTGCTTGAACTCGGGAGGTGGAGGTTGCAGTAAACCGAGATTGCGCCATTGCACTCTGGCCTGGGCAACAGAGCGAGATACTATCTCAAAAAGAAAAAAAAAAAAGTTAAATCAGTGGTTCTCAACTGGAGGTGATTTTGCTCCCCAGCAGGCATTTAGCAGGGTCTGGAAACATTTTGATTGTCACAACCGGGGAGGGTTGTGCTACTGGCATCTAGTAGGCAGTGGCCAGGGATACTGCTTAACATCCTGCAATCAACGGGAAAGTTCCCCAAAACAAAGACTACCTGGTCCAAAATAAAGACTACCTGGTCCAAAATGTCAATGATGTTGCCTGTGTTAAACATTAGTGTTAAACCTCAGTTTCTAGTATGAACAATCATCCTTTTTTAATGCTTGAATTAAACCCTTCACCGAGGGTGAAACTGCCATTGCCAAATTATAACTGAGGCAGTGGAAGAGATCTGACCTAACCAACTCCATCTTGATTCTAACCTCCAGGTTGCCCTTGCTCATTCCTGGTGTAGGCCGAACTAACTTTGGCAGGAACTTAGTTTACAGTTTAGCTTTGAAACAAAGATGATAACAGCCCTTTCCCAAAACAAACCCCCTTCCTACCTGTGAACCAGACTGCCTTCGCAGGACTAACAAATTAGCCACAAAATTAGAAATTATGGTTTAGGAGTCATGCGGCTGGAGGCTACAAGATTCTAAATCTCCCCAAAATCATTTCTCTGATGTTACACTCTTAGACTGTTTCCAGATTTTCTCTGTTACAGATAATGCTGCAATGGACATCTTCAATGACTTTTTTTTTTTTCTGTTGAATTATTTCCTTAGGATAAATTCCCGGAAGTCAGAAATACATAATCAATGGATATTTCATATTTTTCATGTTTCATGAGTTATATTGCCATTTTGCTTTACGAAGGGATTGAATCAAAACTGTGTTCCACCAGAAGTGTATAAGTATACCAATTTTAAAACCCTGGCAGCCCTGGGTGTTACCATTTAAAAAGAGTAAGAGAAGGCACAAATCTCAGATATAAGATGGTACTTATAGTTTGCCTCAATATACATTTAAATTGCTAATCAAGATGAATGATTTTTTTCATATTTATTTTCTGTTACTCCTTTTTGGATATGAATTGTTTCTGTCTTTTGCTTATTTTTATCATGGTTCTCAATGATTTTCTTTTAAAATTGCAGGTAATCTTTACTGAGTATAGATGGTAAAGTTAATGAAATTATTTTACTTTTTTTTCTAGTTTTACTTTCTCCTACCACTGTCTAGCTATGTTAATATTTCCTCCCAAAATTTTCATTTGTAATTGTAATACTCTTTTTAGGTGCCGGTCACCTAACCCAACCTGCGGCCTCTACACAGAGAGGCCTTGGGGGAAAGGAAAAGCTTCTCCAGCGATTGATGTCAGCGGCCCACCGAGGTAAGAGCAATACTCTGTCTCTGAAAGTATCCCAGGAACTAATTTCCCTTAATCAAATGAAGGGCCTTAGGAGGAGCCACGAGGCAGAAATGAAAATAAATCTGAAGGAGAATACCAAATTCTGTGAGGAGTTTGAAAGACCTGCATTAAAAAAGGGCACCGTACCTTTAGGACTGCAGCTCTGGCGATGCTCCATATGCAGCTATTAATATGCAAAAAATGCCTTCATAAATACTTGATTCTGTTCACAGTGGGGAAGCAGTTCATTTGAAAGAGGAAATGGGAGCTTGGAGTTGAAACATGTCTGCTTGTCTCCTTTTTCTTTTTTCATTGCTCTCTTTTCATCTCCACATTTCCCCTTGTAGTTTTCTTACCCCCGCCCCCACCACCTCACCCCCTCTTCTAACTCCTAGGAACTTGCTGGTATCAGTTGCTACTCTCGTTTCTTTTGATGGATTCGCTGCCGAGGCCCCGCTCCTCAGGTCAGGTGTGGAAGAGGTGCCTTGGGAGCCATTCCCACCATTTGCCATCCTCATCGTGTGTTGGAGGAAGGAGCCTAACCCTTTCTGCTCCCATTACAGTGCCGACAGCCTCCGAGGAGCCAAGGTGAAGGCTCTCGCATCGCAGCGGTAGGGCCTCTGCAGAAGCCTCCAGCCCAGGGAACGCTGTCACCCCAGCCTCTGCAGAGCACCCTGTGGCTTTCTCCCCAACCCACACGCCAGAGATTGTTTTCTAAATCTAGGCCTGCGACTTCTCATTAGAGGGTGGTAATACCAGAATATCCACCTTTGGCAAGTCTTCCCCTCTCTCAGCTAGCACTGTGATAAAAGTACAAGTCTTTCATGTCACTGAACCCCTAATAGGGTCAGATCCCAAGGAAGGGAGGGAAGGGGGAGTCAGTGGGGGAACTGATGGAAAGGAATGGTGCTGCTAAGATCAGTATTGTGATGTCCTCTGCTTCGTGGGGAAAGGCCACAAGGGAAGGAATCCCCTGGATTGCCAGTGGCCCATCAATGTAGGGAACTGAAATCAGCTGGACAGAAATTTGTCCTAAATGTGTTCCAGATGCTTTATAATAAACATGAAATTAGTCATTGCCATGGAGTAGGCTGAGGAAGTAGTTAAAACTAAAGTCAGTGATTAATCTAATAAGAGGCCATTAGCCTTGAGAAGTAAGCGGGGGTGCAGGAGGCCAGGAAGATACCCCTACCTCCCTCCCACCCTGTTTTCTCTGTGTTTGGGGCTGGTGGGGCTCCCTAGACTTCTCCTCAGATGCCCTTTCTTTCCAGGGCTGCTTCTAAAGGAACTGGGACTACTGCGACTTGGACAAGTCGCTCCTGGTGGGAGCCACCCCGCTGTTTCACAAAGGAGGCAGGCGCGTGGGCTTCTCAGTGAGCTAACTTTCCACAGCCTCACAGGGGAAACTGGGATGAAAGTTTAAGACCCCTCGCTCTGGTATTCCTTCTTCTGACTGCAAAGTTAATAATTCAGCCTAGGATTTAATTAGACATGGTTGAGCCCCTCTTTCTTTTTTTTTTTTTTTTGAGACGGAGTCTTGCCCTGTCGCCTAGGCTGGAGTGCAATGGTGTGATCTCGACTCACTGCAACCTCCGTCTCCTGCGTTCAAGTGATTCTCCTGCCTCAGCCTCCCAAGTGGCTGGGATTACAGAGGTGTGCCACCATACCCAGCTAATTTTTGTATTTTTAGTAGAAACTGGGTTTCACCATGTTGGCCAGGCTGGTCTTGAACTCCTGACCTTGTGATCCGTCCACCTTGGCCTCACAAAGTGCTGGGATTACAGGCGTGAACCTCCACGCCCGCCCGAGCCTCTCTTTCATTGCAGGTGATAGTAGATCTTTTGGAACAGAACCGTGGGGCTGTGTGAATTTGGGGTGTGTTTAGGGTATGTGAGGCCTTTGCATGGCCTTTGGGTTGCAGAATTATCAAAATACACCATATTATGTTTTCCTTAGTCACATACTCTTTCAAAAAACTCTGTCTCTAGTTCCCTTAAATGGGATGTCTGCAAAGTGGGCATTTAAAAAATGCAAATGTTGGTTCAGCAGCTCCTTGGCAGCAGGAGGAGTTGCTCAGTTGCGTTTCACCTCAGTGGAGACCTGACCCAGGCCTAGGGTTGTCACAGAGAGTTCCTCAGAGCCCAGCTCGGGCACACAGATGAAAGCAATCCCATTTCTATTATCATTATGCATAATGAGTGCTGGGGAAGAATAGAAAGCCAGGCTGTGGCAGGAAGGAAGGTGGACAGAATGGAGAAATCAAGATCATGGCCTAGAGGTGTCACACAGCAGGGTGAGACCTGCGAGTCCCCTGCAGCTGCGTGTGCTGCCTCTGCCTCAGGTTCTCCAAGGCCCTGGATTCAGTTCTAGGAATTTCCTTGAGTTGTCTCTCTAGAGATAATTTGAAGACAGTTCCAGCTTCAAAGCTTCCAAGGAAGGAACAAATTTAAATATTTGTGAACATATGTCCTTGAACCACTAACAGATACTCTTTTTTTTTTTTTCCTGAGACAGGGTCTCGCTCTCTCACTCTGGATTCTGGCTGCAGCATGATCTCAGCTTGCTGCAACCTCCACCTCCTAGGTTCAAGCGATTTTCCTGTCTCAGCCTCCCAAGTAACTGGGACCACAGGTGCATGCCACCACATGGCTAATTTTTGTATTTTTAGTAGAGACAGGGTTTCACCACATTGGCCAGGCCAGTCTCGAACTCCTGACCTCAGGTGATCTGCCCGCCTGCGCCTCGCAAAGTGCTAGGATTACAAGCATGAGCCCACTGTGACCAGTCCACTAATAGAAATTCTTAATATATCTAGATGAACCACCATCCTCCTTTCTTCACGATTACCTTTGCACTTTTTTTTTCTTAATTGCCAATATTTATCTCTATTACGAATGAAAATTAGTGCCTACTGCCTCATTGGATGTCACCTTTCTGTGTTCCCTTATTCCCTTTCTGACTTCGCAGAAGTCAGGGAAAGGCCTATTCAGCTTATTTACATACGTAAAGAGCCAAACAATACAGTCCAAGTTGAGTTAAGATATTCCAAGTCTAAGAGTAAAGGAACCTCTGTGATTTCATAGTCTACTTGTCTCATTTTACTGATTAGGCAAATGAGGCCCAGAGAGGTAAAGTGTCTCACCTAGGGCCACACAGCAAGCTGAGACAAGAACCCGAGTTGTGACTCCCAGTGTCATCCTCATTCAGAGTCAATACTGTACCTGCTTCTCTGTTGTTTGGGTCAATGGTGAGGTTTCATAAAGATTCATGTGAAGGTTGGCTCTAGGTTCAGTGTTTGCTATAGTGAAAATCAAAGAGGAAAAAATATCAAGGTGGTCAGATCTGGATTTCATGACTTTTTATATATACCATACACACACACACACACACCTAGTTCATATGCATGTAAGATTATAAGCACATATACACCCATGGCATTCATAATTTACTCACCAAATAACACCTGTAACCTCTATAGGCATAGTCTAAACACCATGTTAAACATAGTGTTAAGACTTTATATTCAAATACATATTATTCTTGTTTTGGTTGCTCTTTAAAAGAACAAAAGTAAATTCTTTATGCTATTAAAATTCAGATAAAGCTGAAATTAAAAAGGAAATATTGATGGAAAAAAATCTGCTGATGCTGTTGAGTATAAATTTTGTATGACTGCACTTCACTGAAGTAGGAAAAGACTTCTGCAAACTTCCAAATAGAGAGATCAGAGGCTTCCTTTTTTCCTTATAATGTGGAGGGGCAAGAGGAAAGGTGGAAACAAGAATCAAACAAAGGCAAACGCCAAAGCGGGGCTGGAGGGAGGGGACTAACGGAAACCACAGAAACCTTGGAGCCAGCTGGGAAGCAGGCACCACTTGGACACCAGCAGGGGCTGTCGTGTGATGCCCATGACTCCCCTTCATGCTGTCGTTATCAATGTTCTCTATAGGTGTGGCAGCGGAGGTGCAAAAAGTATAGTAACCCACTCAAAGTTGTACCACTAGTGAGGTTTTGAGTAAGGATTTCCCTCCAAGACTGCCCGACCCCAAAACTCCATGGTGCAAAAGGATAGGTTTTATTTTGCTTTTCTTTTTTTCCCCTAAGAAAGTAAATTTGGTCGGGTGCAGTGGCTCATGCTCGTAATCCCAGCACTTTGGGAGGCCAAGGTGGGTGGATTGCTTGAGGCCAGGAGTTTGAGACCAGCCTGGCCAACAAGGCGAAACCCCATCTCTACTAAAAATACAAAAATTAGCTGGGCGTGGTGGTGGGCGCCTGTAGTTGCAGCTACTCCAGAGGCTGAGACAGGAGAATCGCTTGAACCTGAGAGGCAGAGGTTGCAGTGAGCCAAGATCACGCAACTGCACTCCAGCCTGGGTGACAGAGCGAGACTCCGTCTGAAAAAAAAAAAAAGTAATTTTAATATTCTAAAGGAATGTTTATTTGAGGAACAGATTTAGCTAAGCACATGGCTCTACTGACATAGGTTTTAGTCTCTTCTGTGGGATCAATGTCCAACAAAAAGTTCTTTCCATACTTGGTACTCATAAGTAGCTCTTTTAGGAGCCAATGGCCATATGTCACTCTGTATCTTTGTCTTTTTGACCTTAAGCCTCTACTCATTCTTTGTGGGCTGACCTTCCCTTTTCTGTTGTTTCTCAGCTAGCTGCTTCTGTTTTTGAAAATGACTTTTGCACAGATTTAAAACATTTCTTAGCAGGGTGTGGTGATGCGTGCCTGTAATCCCAGCTACTCAGGAGGCTGAGATACAAGAATCACTTGAACTCGGGAGATGGAGGTTGCAGTGAGCCGAGATTTACCACTGCACTCCAGCCTAGGTGACAGAGTGAGACTCTGTCTCAAAAAAATTTTTTTTTTAAAATTTAAATCAGCCTGGGGGAAACTGAGGCCCTGAAAGCATTTTCATTCAGTTGGCTCAAGGGCACACCTTGAAATAACACAAGACCAGAACCCGGAACCCAAATGTCCTGACTTAGCGTCTTGCACTTTCCCCTCCACATCACACTGCCTCCCGTTAGCCTGAACGCGCTTGCCACATCACAGCTGCTTGGCCATGATCCACCCTCGGGACAAATCCAGCCCAGCAGAATTGTGTTGTGATGAGGTTCACTACACTGTGGCTTGGAAGGATTCATGGGCCTCTTAGAAATGAAACTTATAAATTCTAATGCATAAGGAAAGTTCTTGCAACACCAGGAGAATGAATCAGTCAGCCAGAGTTCAAGAAATGTAAACACATTTTTAGATAGGAGACTGAAAAATCACTTAGGACTTCTCCATCTTTTGGGTCAAGACCTTGGTAATTTACTGAGGTCCAAGCTGTCAAGGAGGAGACACAACTCAAACTGCATTCCTGGGAGATAGAACAGCGGGGGTGGTAAAACCTCCTTTCAGAACAATGTGACAAGATCTACCCCTGTTATCAAGTCAAAGAAACTGATTAACCCATCGACCAACCCAGGTAATTGGCTGCAAACGAAGGCCTGGTTCTTTTTTGTCGTTCAGAAACTGGTGTGCACATTCCAGTTTTTACAGTCTATACAGGCTACACAGACTATAGGCTGCACAACTTCCAGGCACGCCTGAAACTGGGAGTTCACAGTCTTTCTGTGATGAACATTTCTGCCACTAAAGAGATAAACAGAAAACACATTCCTTCCTTGGCTGCCCACCATCAGGCCTTAGCAGATTTTCAAATGCTAGCATTAATCTAACCACAGGCTTTTAGTGAGGAGATAGCATTCTCACCAGATAATTGGGCAGTTTTAGAGATGACCCTTATTAGATGGGGGTCTCATCCCAAGCCTGTTCTGCCTTCCTCAAATCATGGAATCCTTCACCAAACACTCAAAACTTGAAAAGCAGGAAAGGGCATCTGATTCTAGCATGGAATATGGCTCCTTAACATTTCCTTCTATTTAAATCTGCATTGGCTATGTTTAATTCCCAAGTCATTGTTTGTTGTTTTCAATAAAAATGAAACATAGTTGGCTGGGCATGGTGGCTCACGCCTGTAATCCCAGCACTTTGGGAGGCCAAGGCGGGCAGATCACTTGATATCAGGAGTTTGAGACTAGCCTGGCCAACATGGTGAAACCCTGTCTCTACTAAAAATACAAACATTAGCCAGGTGTGGTGGCGGGCACCTGTAATCCCAGCTACCTGGGAGGCTGAGGCAGGAGAATCACTTGAACCCAGGAGGCGGAGGTTGCAGTGAGCTAAGATCGCGCCATTGCACTCCAGCCTGGGCAACAAGAGTGAAACTCTGTCTCAAAAAAAAAAAAAAGAAAAAAAAAAAGAAAAAAAAAGAAAGAAAGAAATATAGTCATATTTATTCTCATTGTTTCAGGATGCATATTTGCCTTGGTATGGGACACTCTTGTGGGCCCCATCTGGTGTCAAAATAGAGATCAACTCCAAAGAGTCACCTTATTAGGCCAGGTGGGCCACCTGGCTCCTTCCTAGATATATGTCAGGGTTTGGGAAAGAATATCACACCTGTAGGGTCCAAACTTTCCAAATATGCAGTGGTTACAAGGGCAGTAGCTGTTGGATGTGCTGGCAGGAGCTTCTTTAAATCTGTTTAAGGCGTTTGTCTATGTATATCATTTCTGAGGCAAGAGCACCCTTTGATGGCTAACATGCTGTCATGGAACATACCCCATAACTTGCAGTGTTTCATTACCATGGAAGGGATATATCCATTGCCAAACAGGTCTCAGAAAGCACCTTTGCCTTCTCATAGCTTTGCACAGGGACTTGCTGGCCCCAGCAGGAATCAATGGGAGAAGGCCTGAAAGTCAGCGTCAGTCCCTTCATGGGGACTGTGTTTTTTTGATCATAAATGGAAAATGCAAACGCAAATTCCAGATTATTAAAAAAAATTCTCCCTAGTATAAACTTAACCATAAAAGGAAGGATAATTTTGGTCCTGCTGACCTTTCCTTAAGAATATCTAAAAATACTTTATTTTATATGATGTGACTCAAGACACCTATGACCTATAGAGTGTTTGTAGTGTTACAATAAATTTTGAGTCTGCTTGTTTAATGCAGGGGACCAAGACCCAAGATGGCCTTTTGGTATTGTCATTATCAAATTCTTGGGACGAGATTTAAGACCTTGTTTATGCTACACATTTTCACTTTAAATCTTCCTGAATGAGGAGGAGGGTGAGATGGGTGTAGGGAATAGTTGCTGGAAGCCTGAATAAGTCTCCAGGCGAAAGACATCCCCCTGGGAGCTCTAACTAGGGAGTCAAGTAGACAGAGCTAGAAAATATGAGTCAGTCTGAATTTAAATACGGAAGTGCCCAGTAAATGCAAGGGCAATATTTTTCTTCCAATTTGGGATAACAGTCCTTTTACTTATATCTTTTTAGATTAAGGCTAGATAAGTCTCAAGGGTCTGGCTTTAGCTTTGGGAACACCAATCTCTCTCAAAAATTCATAAATTATTTTTTATGGAAAGGTCTAAAGGCACATGGCAGTTTACCAAGCCCAGAATGAAAGCCTAGCTAGAGGACTGAATTTAAATTCGAGATGCATAACAACAAAATGTCAAACACATGAGAAACCCTCCAATCAAGAGACATCACAGGATTCGTAAGGATATCTATGGTGGAAGACTGTGTGGAGGAAAGGAATTCAAAAAAAAGGCTGAAGGTGGAATTGCATACAAAACAGCCAGCAAATGTCATTCACGTGGTGGTCTCTGTTCTCCAGAAAAAAAAAATATATATACACACACACACACATATATATATATATTTGTTTTTTTTTTTTTTTAGAGAAGTCTCGCTCTGTTACCCAGGCTGGAGTGCAGTGGCACAACCTTGGCTCACTGTAACCTCAGGTTCAAGCAATTCTCCCTGCTTCAGCCTCCCGAGTAGCTGGGATTATAGGCATGCGCCACCACGCCTGGTTAATTTTTGTATTTTCAGTAGAGATGGGGTTTTGCCATGTTGGCCAGGCTGGTCTTAAATTCCTGACCTCAGGTGATCTGCCCGCCTTGGTCTCCCAAAGTGCTGGGATTATAGGTGTGAGCTACTGCACCTGGCCAGAAAATATTATTTGTGGTCACTTGCTCTCAAACAAATAAAGATATCTGGGGTCCCAGTCTCTAGTCTTATCTCCTCCAATCCATTCTCTACATAGCTGGGAGTCATTTCTATAAAATAAAAATCTGGTGATGCCAATTCCTATGTAAGCAGAGCCCTACCGCCATTGGCGTGAATTCCTCAGCTGCTTTCAATTAAAAAAAATTTTTTGAGATGGAGTC